GAAGAGAATACATCTTGCAATAAATAAAAACCCATATCATTAAGGGTAATATAGATATTTTAACCAATTTTACAAAAAGGATAGTCAACTGGGTTATTCTGAATAATGCCCCATAAATCATTAGGGTCATATATGGACAAGTCAAAGGCCGAGCTAATCACTTAAAATTTTTGCTCGGTTCGTAAAACCCACGAGCCGGCCTACAATCCTGGACCAGGAGCACAACCGGCTCAATGAATCTTTTGTCATGGCACAATTCTTTTTACATTCTCAGTATATAATGTTAATATTCTACAATATAATTCTTACCATCATATTATCTCTTTTATTGTGCAATCTTGAGTTTTATTATGTTTAAATTTTCTTATATGAGTTATTCCCGTCCAATTTTAATATAAAATATATTATTCTATTCGCCCCTCTTTCTTCCACATATTATTCTAATTTCAAAAGAATCATAGCGGATTGTTGGATGCTAGTGACATTGACAATATGTTTGGTGCTTCTAACACACCAAAAAGTACATCAACTCTCACTTCGTAGGTAGTGATGAGTTTTTGCTTCACATAGTGGGAAGCGAACACTTGACCAAGTTCATACAAAAATATCTTCAACCTAGGTACTTACCCTATTGTAGAAATACTAATATTTTAAAAATCGAATATGGCATTGATCCAGAAAAAGGAGAGGATCAAAGAGTCAAACTGAAATTAAACTAGGGTCGAATGGAAAACAAAATAAAATAAAATTTTGTATAGATATGTACTATTTAAAAATAAATAAATTACTATATAGATATATACTTTTAAAACTAATATTAAAAATTCTTAAATTCTATACAAAATGCTGATATGGATAGAAAAAGAGTTGTTCGCATCGCATAACATTTGTTAGTTAATTATTATTTTTAATTAATCATATCCTCACCTAAAAAAAAAAAACTAAATATGATGGGAAATGATTGGATGAGAAAGTTGACTTTATTTTAAACTGACAATCATTTTTCTCCGCATCATATTATGTAACCCTTTATATACAATTTTTATTTATAAGTCGCAAAATCTAGATAATTGTTTATTTTCCCCACATCATATTATGTAACCATTTATATACAATTTTTATGTACATGTAGATTAATATGTGACATTATGTAATCCATTAAGTAATTTTTGATGTACATGTAGCAAGATCCTTGAAATAAATAAGCCCATTTATAAACCTAGGAAACCATCTAGTCATAAACTCAGATGTCAGAAGAAATCTTCTTTTCCTTTGTTTCTGACTGTTTCTTCTATTTTTTCAGGCGCACTTCTTTCTCATTTCTCGTGGGGGCTTCTTCTACATATATGTGCATATGAATTGATGGATGGTCTTTCACATAACTTGAGCAAGTTAAGGAAGCTTCGTTGGCAAAACTTTTTTGTGTTCCTTTTTTTTTTTTTTTTTTGGTAGCTAAATGGAAAACTCAATAAAAACGAGTTCGATTCATCGGTTTCTGATCAAACCGATCATTTTATCGGATTATTATTGGATATCCGGCCACAACTGAATCGGTCGTCGGATCAATTCACGGGTTTTCCAGTCGAATCGACCAATCCAATATGATTTTCAAAACATTGAGAAATACTTTTCATTCAGATGCCATTACTTCATAGAATTAAAAAAAAAAAGTCATTATTTACATGCATCATATATATCCACTTTTAAAAAGAAAATTATATTATATTTTTAATTTTATGTAAATTTACTTAAATAGACATATATAAAACTAAATAAAAATATATCACTCTAAATTCATCCATTAATATTTATTTTCATTAAATTCTCTTGGATTTTTTTTATGTTCTTTTAGAATTTTTGCTTAACACTTACTTTAATAGTAATAAAATACCATTTTTAACTAAATCAAAACTAAAAACTGTAAATGTGCGTTTAATTGCTAATATTTTCCATGAAAAAAATGTATTTTTTCACCAAAATTCCTACTTTTGTGCTGTTTGATTAACATTTTTCATGGAAAATATTTTCCTACTTATGATCACGTGATCATATTTTTCTCAAAATCAAGGAAAAATTTTTCTTTAGCGGAGAATGATTTTATTTTTCAGAAAATTCACTTTCTATTTCCTCTCTTTTCTATTCATCAATAAAAAATGAATATTTATAATATTTTATAGGTTGAAAACTAAGTCAATCAAATACATTTATTTAATAATTTTCATACAAATAATTTCTAAACAATTATTTTTCGTAAAATTTATTTTCTTTCCATACAAATTTAATATTTGCAATCAAATGCATCCTAAATGTAAATCTAAACATTAAAAAACTAAAAACTCATCAATTTGGCCACTTGAACTTTAAAAACACCTGCAAATGGAGGCTTCAATCTCATTGCAAGTAATTTTTCTGGTTCCGTTTTTTCTACATTTTTTTTATTTTTCTGCTTTCAAGAATATACAGTACGTTTATTAATACTAATTGTTTGGTGATGAAGGGACTGAATGTCTGTCACCTATTGAGAAGGATCCATACATTAAAGCAGCTTCCCCAAATTTAATTGGCCAGTAGGGCATGGCATCTCCCGGTAATTTTAATATCCCCGTGGTTGGCTATGCCTGGTCTTTTCTTTTAATACTAGTGTTTTGTCCGTGAAGTGCACAATTATTGTTATTTTGAAAATAATTGTTAAGATTTTGGTTTCATATTAAAATATCAACCTTATTAAGAGGAGTAACTCAATCCTTTATAAGTTGATTTATGTTTACATCTCTATTCGATGTATGATTCTATCCCTTAACATGTCCCCACAAGATGGTGGCTCGTTTGGACAGACTAATCTTGAAATCCTTATGCTTACTTTTATAGTCTTGACCGGATCGAATTACATTTTAGGGTTTAATGAGCTCTGATACAATGTTAAGATTAGGGTTCCATCTTAAAAATGTCAACATTATTAAGATGAGTAATTCAATCTTTTATAAGTTTGTTTGTATTTACATCTCTATTCGATGTGAGATTATATTCTTTATTATGCCCTCGCAAGATGGTGGCTCGTTTGAACATATCAATCTTGATATTCGTATGCTCAATTTTGGAGTCTTAACTGGATCGAATTGCTCGTTGGAACTTAATGAGCTCTGATACCATGTTAAGATTTGAGTTCCATCTTAAAATGTTAACCTGATTAAGAGGAATAATCTAATCTTTTATAAGTTGGTTTATATTTACATCTCTGTTCAATGTGAGATTCTATCCCTTAACAATAATGTTAGTGTTTTAATTGTTATATTTCGACAATATGTATTACAACAAAAGATGGTATATGTTATGTGTTTAAAATTATAAAATTCTATAGGTTA